TATACAGGATTAATATAGCGCCAACAGTTTGCACAGCACTTTACAATATAATAGGAGACAATACAGCAACAATACAGTTCAATACGAGAGGGTTAGGAGGGCCTAATCCTGGGAGCTTACAATCTAAGAGGTTTGTGAAAGACCAGGATGTACTAGACTGCTGGTGTCGCCAGTTCACCAAAAGGTAGTGTGGCACTAGTACTGGCACTCTGCTGCATCTGAGTCATCAAAATTTACCGACAAGTGCTAAAAGAGATCAGGCCTGATTCTGCCAACACTGCGGTTTTGTGTGCAATGTATCAAGTGACAGTGACCTACTGACACTGCATTTGCTGGGGGAGAAGGGGGGGGGGGTAAGCGTAGGGGCTAAACGCAGGTGCTGGCAGGGGCCGGGGTGATCCCGCTAACGCTGCGTTTTTGGGGACGCTATACTAATGTGAACGCTAGTATGGTGCTAATCTGATCAAAGTTATTGATCCGATCAGACACTATACTAGCAATGGAGGTTTATTGTGTATGAGCGTCTTCCTGACAATCAAGAGGTTAAATGTGATGACTAGTGTACTGACGGGCAATCTGACGCCATCTGGGAGGGGCGTGAAAACCACGAGAGCGCCAATCACGTATATATATGCGATTTTGCGCACCTGTGCCGCCCTGTAGCAGTATTTCTGCTATAGGGCGGTCAGGAAGCAGTTATGTAAGCTGTTTGTTTTATGGCGCTGCGTTACTTTAACTGACAATTGCGCGGTCATACAACACTGCACCAAAATGAAATTTACATCTTTTTTTCCCCAGAAATTGAGCTTTCTTTTGGTGGTATTTAATCTCCTGTGCGGTTTTTATTTTTTGCGTTATAAAAAAAAAAAAAAACTACAATTTTGAGAAAAAAAAAAAATATTTTGGATTTTTGCTATAAAACATGTCCAGTAAAAAATTTTTTAAAATCAAATTTTGTCATAAATTTCAGCCAAAATGCATTCTGCGACATGTCTTTGCTACAAAAAATCCTAATATGTGTAAATTAATTGGTTTACGTGAAAGTTATAGCGTTTACAAATGGCAGTATAGATACTGGATTTTTAAATTTTTTTTATACTAATAATGGCAGCAATCAGCGACTTATGCCAGGACTGTGGGACTGCGGCGGACATTCTGACACTGGGAGGGAACTGACTTAGGGTCATCCCCCAGTAACACCAATACAGTGATCAGTGCAAAGAAAAAACACTGACACTGTACTAATGGCACTGGGGAGGAAGGGGTTAACTTTTTTTAGGCAATCAAAGGGTTAACTGTGTGAGGGGAGTGTTTTACTAGTGGGCGGGGGGTGTGTACTTCACAGGAACACTCTGATCCCGAGAGCTAAACTCCGCTCTCAGGAACAGTGTTTTTTAGAACTGACAGGGAGCAGCGCTGCATTGAAAAGAATGCAGCTGTGCTCTCACTGTTTGCTGGCAATCGCCGGGACCTGGAGGGTAATGACCAGCCGGGACCCGGTGATTGACACCCGCGGCCGTGATAGGCGGCGCGGGTAGGGTGGTCGCGCACCCCCTACCTGTTTTGCAAAATGACGTTTTAAAACGTCATTTTGTGCAGTGGTGCCACCCTGCCACCGTATATGTACTGTGGCTGGTAGGCAACTGGTTAAACATGTCCAGTAAAAATATTTAAAAAATCTAATTTCGTCATAAATTTAGGCCAAAATGTATTCTGCTACGTCTTTGCTAAAAAAAAAAAACAATATACCTATAAATTAACTGGTTTATGTGAAAATTATAGCGTTTACAAATGGTAGTATATATACTTGAATTTAAAAAAAAAATTTTTTTTTTTTAGTAATGACGGCGATCAGCGACTTATAGAGGGACTGTAGTGGGCATTCTGACATTGGGGGAAGCTGAATTGGTGTCACTGACATCCCCAGTGACACACCACTACAATGAACAGTGCTAATAAAAAGCCAGACACTGGGCAGGAAGGGGTTAACATGTGGGGCAATCAAAGGGTTAACTGTGTGGTGTTTTACTACGTGGGCTGTGTCTGTGTTTCACAGTAAGCACACTGCTTTGTATGGCTTGGCTATGCAGAGCCATACAAAGCAGTGTGCAGGAGCTGACAGAGGAGAGATCTGTATTGTTTACATACAGGTCTCTCCACCCTCGGACGAGTAATCACCGACCTGGACCCGGTGATTGACAGCCGAGGCTGCGAATGGTGGCACGAGTAGGGCCTGTGCGCGCCACTACCCAGAACTGCAAAATCACATACAGTCATGGCCGAAATTGTTGGCACCCTTGATATTTCTCCAGGAAATCATGTATTTCTCACGAAACGTATTGCATTAACACATGTTTTGCTATACACATGTTTATTCCCTTTGTGTGTATTGGGACAAAACAAAAAAAGGGAGGAAAGAAAGCAAAATTCGACATAATGTCACACAAACCTCCAAAAATGGGCTGGACAAAAGTATTGGCACCCTTTCACAACTGCGGATAAATAAGAATGTTACAAGCATGTGATGCTCCTGTAAACTCACCTGGGGAAAGTAACAGGTGTGGGCAATATAGAAATCACACCTGAAAGCAGATAAAAAGGAGAGACGTTCACTTAACCTTTGCATTGTGTGTCTGTCTGTGCCACACTAAGCATGGACAACAGAAAGAGGAGACGAGAACTGTCTGAGGACCTGAGAACCAAAATTGTGGCAAAATATCAACAATCTCAAGGTTACAAGTCCATCTCCAGAGAACTAGATTTGCCTTTGTCCACAGTGCGCAACATTATCAAGAAGTTTGCAACCCATGGCACTGTAGCTAATCTCCCTGGTCGTGGACGGATGAGGAAAATTGATGAAAGATTGCAACGCAGAATAGTCCGGATGGTGGATAAGCAGCCCCAAACATGTTCCAAAGACATTCAAGCTGTCCTGCAGGCTCAGGGAGCATCAGTGTCAGCGCGAACTATCCTCGACATTTAAATGAAATGAAACGCTATGGCAGGAGACCCAGGAGGACCCCACTGCTGACACAGAGACATAAAAAAGCAAGACTACAGTTTGCCAAAATGTACTTGAGTAAGCCAAAAGCCTTCTGGGAAAACGTCTTGTGGACAGATGAGACCAAGATAGAGCTTTTCGGTAAAGCACATCATTCTACTGTTTACCGAAAACGGAATGAGGCCTACAAAGAACAAAACACAGTACCTACGGTAAAATATGGTGGAGGTTCAATGATGTTTTTGGGGTTGTTTTGCTGCCTCTGGCACTGGGTGCCTTGACTGTGTGCAAGGCATCATGAAATCTGAGGATTACCAAAGGATTTTGGGTCGCACTGTAGGGCCCAGTGTCAGAAAGCTGGGTTTGCGTCCAAGATCCTGGGTCTTCCAGCAGGACAATGACCCCAAACATACGTCAAAAAGCACTCAGAAATGGATGGCAAAGAAGCGCTGGAGAGTTCTGAAGTGGCCAGCAATGAGCCCCAGATCTAAATCCCATTGAACACCTGTGGAGAGATCTTAAAATTGCTGTTGGGAAAAGGTGTCCTTCCAATAAGAGAGACCTGGAGCTGTTTGCAAAGGAAGAGTGGTCCAAAATTCCGGGTGAGAGGTGTCAGAAGCTTATTGATGGTTTATAGGAAGCGACTGATTTCAGTTATGTTTTTCCAAAGGGTGTGCAACCAAATATTAAGTTAAGGGTGCCAATACTTTTGTCCAGCCCATTTTTGGGGTTTTGTGTGACATTATGTCATATTTGCTTTTCTGCCTCTGTTTTATATTTGTTCCAATACATACAAAGGGAATAAACATGTTATAGCAAAAACATGTGTTAATGCAATACCTTTTTTGTGTGAAATACTTGATTTTCAGGAAAAATATCAAGGGTGCCAACAATTTCGGCCATGACTGTATATATATACGTGATTTTGCGCACCCATGCTCCCTGTAGCATTATTTCTGCTATAGGGCAGAGGGGAAGTAGGTAAAAGTGTTTTGGTGTTTTTCTTTAGCCTTGATAACCACAGCTCTTGTATATTGGTTTATGGCATTGGTTTAATATGCCTGTTGTAGAACGACTCTCATTTTAAACGAATGCCTGTCTCTAATTAAAACACATTCTCTGCCTACAATTGCTTGCTAGATGTACATAAAAAAAGGTATCCCTAGAGATTTTTTTTGAAATGTTGGCAATTATGCTTTCACACGGATCTGTAGCAAAAATGCATTTTTACTACATTGGTGGTGTGTTTTTTTTTACAAGAAATTTGACTCAAAAACTGCACCAAAAACACAAAGCGGCTGCGTTCTTTATGGGTTTTTGCTGCAGTCTCCATTTATTTCAAGGGGGAGGTATTTGGTTCCTTTTTTTTTTTTTTTTACTGCAAGCAGGATTTTAAAATCAGCACTGAACCCACAACGGATCAGTGTGAAGAGTTCCATAGGACTGCATGGTGACACATTTTCCATCTGCCTTTTTACCCAAAAGCAGAAGAAAAACAATCAGTGTGAAATCAGCCTTACATCGTTTCTTTGAAGGTGAACTAACATTTTAAAAAATATTTTTCTATCAGACAATACAAGGAGGACAAAAGACGTGAAGAGAACACTGATTGGATCCATAAATCACACATCCTACATCACTTTATATGTGGTCAGACATTTTGTCTACTCCGTCCTATTATCTTCCGCCTTACTCAGGAAGAGGTCACATGGACTCTGTCCGGTCACCTGATTGGTGACAATTCCTGCTTCAGCCCGCCTTTCCCTGGCTCCTTTATGTGCACAGTGTGATGTCTTTGTTATAGGTGTTCAGTCAATAATGAGCTGGTATTAGCAGTCCGTGTGTACACCCAGCGCCCTTGTTGCTCGTTCTTGTTCTATATCCGGCCGGCGGAGTTTTCGTCGCCTCATTGTAGCCCGGAAGTGCCGGCGCCATTTTGTCTGCCTCGCAGTGAGTGAAGCCCGCGCCTCCAGCCTCGCCTCTTCCTGAATTCTCCACTATGAAGGACACCCTGAAAATCTTCATCGGCAACGTGGACGACTGCACCACGGAGGAGGAGCTGACCGACCTATTCCAGAAATTCGGCCCGGTGGTAAGCTGTGCCGTCATGAAGCAGTACGCCTTCGTCCATATGAGGGGCGCTGACCGGGCCAAGAGAGCCATCGATGAGCTGAACGGGCGGGAGGTGCACGGGAAGAGGATGGTGGTGGAGCTGTCCAAGCCGCGGCCTCAGAACACCTGGAAGATCTTCGTGGGCAATGTTAGCACCGCCTGCGACGCCTCCGAACTCCGCACCATGTTCGAGGCCCACGGCCGGGTGGTGGAGTGTGATGTGGTAAAAGGTAATGGCGGCACTGGGGGAGGGGATGGCGGCCTTGTCACTTGCGCCGGGCCTAGCGATGGCACACGATCGTCTTGTATACCCCGTCTCCCTGTTCGGGCTGATATTTCCTTTACTCTTCCTGCGATCCGTCCACATTTTCTAGTCGCCGTTTATATTGACATTTAGGCCTTCCGATGAAGTTTGCGATGTTTTTATGGCGAATACTAAATCTATATAGTATAGACCCGAGAGCACAGACCGTCCTGCGGACTGCGTGTTTCCTGCGGTACCTTGTGCACATCGGGCGCTTTGCTCGACGTGAGGATCCCCCATTGTATGGGTTGGTGTCGGGCTGACACCTGAGCGTCGTGGGCCTCGAAAACGTTGTTTGGGGTAGAGTCGCACAGTTAACTTTAACGGGGGGCCCTGAGAACACATACGGGGGGTATTAAAACTGGAACACATGGAATCTAATGCAGTCCTGTGGTAGCCAATCAGCTTGTCTCATCGCCTTACTTTCATAGTGATCTGCAACAGAAACATGGCAAAGACGCATTTTTGCCATGTTTGCTGTGATTGTTACAGGATATGTAATAAAAACTAAGTGCAACGTGAGTGTTTTTGCAGCTTTTTTATTTATTTCACTGAAGAGGTATGTGTTTGGGGTGGTTTGTTTGTGTTTGTTTTTTTTCCCTACATCAAAAATGCAGCAAGCAGGATATTAGAAAATGCAACACATCAGTGTGAAGAGTTTCATAGGAACAAGTGGTCACATGGTGTTTGTGGCTTTTTTTTCCCCTTCCAACATAGAGGTGGGAGAAAAATGGATTAGTGGGGAAGCAGCCTTGAAATAGCTATAGGCAAAACTTTTTTGTGTTTTCCCCTTTTTGGAGAGAGGAAGGTTATATACCCCATCAGTTTTTTGTCACCTGTGTCCCACTAGGGCGTTTTCCTGTCCTATAGCCAAACGGGGAAATCTCTGCAAATTAAGGGAATTCCTTGGGGACCCCCAGGTTACTCAAACAATTGAAAGATTTGTCCTCTATTCTTTTTCTAGGAACAACCCAAATTTTTTTTTTTCTTTTTTGCTTGTGGCAAACATGACAAATAGGGAAAATCTCCCTAACAGGGATACAGACAGCAATGAAGACCTGACCTGTGTTCTAATTACTCTACATTCCATCCAAAACTAAAAAAAAAAAAAAATTGGCTCTAGTTATACTTGGGCTACTTTCATGCTGATCCTGCAAAACTGTACATGTCGTTTCCAGTGCATTTTCACTTGTGTTAGGAAAAAAAAAATGCAACCATGGGTGTTTTTGCTGCGTTTCCATTTATTTTAACGGGAAGGTATATGCTTGGTGCAGTGTTTTTTTTTTTTTGTTTTTTAACACCACCAAAAAAAGCAGCGGACCTGCAACTGACCAGTGTGAAGAGATCCATAGGATTTAATGGTCATGCGTCTTTTTTTTTTTTTTTTTTTTTTTTTTTTTTTTTTTTTTTTTTTTTGCGGGAAAAAAAAAAAAACTGAAAAATGGATCAATGTTAAAGCAGCCTTAAGCTTTGACAACAAAACCTGAAAGCTGATTGGTTTCTATGCAGAACTGCACCAGATTCTGTGTGCCCAGGTTTAGTAAATCAACCCCAATGTGTAGGTTTTTTTTTTTTTTTGCCTCCTAGTCACTAGCCTTACCTTTTTAAAAGGAAAATACTGAAGTCTGAAAAACATTTGGTACAGGTGCACATGAAAAAAAACCTCAGTTGTGAGCCTAGCAGAGTCGTGCACCATATGTAGTATGGGATGTCATTCCCTTTACTTTATCGGTCTGTCTAGAGCAGCGGTCACTAAATTGCGGACCACGGACAGCCCCAGCAGCACTCGGTTCTGGACCGCCAGCCCGCGATGACAGATCCGCTGCTGAGCAGGGCAGTCACCACGGGCAACATGACATCACACGTGCGCCCTGCCCCTTGCAGCTCACGGTCTCTCCGCCTCCTGCTCCCTGCCTGTACACAAGTATCCTTCAGCAAGGATCCCAGCACAGCTGTCTGCTCTAAAGGTAGAGTCTAGTCTTACAGGATCACTCTGATGGGCATATTTAATGTTAAGGTGCAGTCTGATGGGCACAACATAGAATGCACATCGCGTGCCCCTTATTTTATGTTAAGGGGGCACTCTGACGAGCCTATACTGCTGAAAGGGGCACTCTGATGGGGAAATATGATGGAAAGGGGTACTTTGAGTGTAAGGAGGAACTCTGACATAAGGTGTCTGACGTAATACCTTATGTAAGTTGGCACTGTGAAGGGGATACCTGATGTAAAGGGGCACTCTGATGCGCACACCTGATGTGATGGGAATACATCATGTAAAGTTGCACTCTGGTGACACCTAAGGTAAGGGGGCACACACCCTATTTGGACCTTAACCAGAAGAAAACCGCCTTGAATTATAATTCAATACCCCTGGTCTAGAGGGTCATTACCAGCTACACACTGACATAGTTGGTAAAATCTTTTTACAGCTCTTATCAACAGACTCATTTACTAAAGCTGGAGCACAGAGTCTGGGGCAGTTGTGCATAGTAAGGTGTAGTTTATGCTTGCAAATGGGGTGATGAAACCTTGCAGTTGAGCTGTGTTTTTATCACCACCACTCCCCCTTTTTGCTGTTGAGGCAATAACCAACAGTACACACATGCCGCAGAGGGAATTATGTGCCCGTTGCCCTTGGCAGGTGGTACCGAGTGCAACCTATTCAAATAAATGGGGCTTCACTGCCACCACATATGCAGTTGCGAAACAGTTGCCCATACTTTAGGGGGTTAAAGTAGGTGGTCGGGAGGTACAACTCCTCCTCGCTACCTGTCTATTGTGGTTTTGAAAAGCACGCCATACGCAGATCGTGTAAACAGCAAAGTAAATTCGCTCTAACCAGGGATGTTGGATTCCTATCGCTCGATGCCCAGGGCATGTAGTACGGGGCAGGTAGTTTCTTTCTACCTTTAGCCATGTTGCGGGTAAGCAGCAGGGCTCATCTGTTTGCTGAAACAATCGGCAGCAGCGCAGCTGACAATTGCTTCACACAGTGCCAGCCTCTCCGCGCCCCCGGCGTGAGGTCTCCTGGGCTCCGCTTGCCCATCTGCGGGCCCGGTTCGCCGTCCGCTAGAGGAGAGGGAGAAGAGCAGACAAATCCACTCCCCTCCCCTTCTTGTGCTGACCCAGAAGTGATGTAACGATGTCACTTCCGTGTCCCCGCTGAGATTGTAATGCAATCCCCGGGAAAGAATGTAATATGGTGCGATCTGCACCATATTACATTCAATGGAGGAGAGGGGAGACATGCAGGGTCTTTTAGACCTTGCATGTCTCAGAGAACCTGTCACCAAAAATCATCACACGGGATGAAGAAAAACTTTTTTTTTTTTTTTTCCTTTAAATTGTAAAAAATGAAAGTTACACTTAAGCACATGCCATCCCCAAAAAATATTGAGGCCCCCACATATGTGAACGTACAAACGTAAAAGCGCACTCTGGGGCACATACTCTTGAGGTCGTCGATTGCGATACATGTTACATATCGCCGCACACGCCAGAATGAGAGCAATAATTTAGCACCAGGCCTCCTCCGTAACACTAAACTGGTGACCTATAAGGAGCTTTAAAAGTGTCGACGTATAGAAAATATAGGGTACTGAAGATCGTCGCCATTTCACGAGCACGCGCAAACTTAAGGTTTGACAAGTTGGATATCTATTTACTCGCTGCAACCTTATATTTTTATATTTTACAAAAAAAATAAGGCAACTGCTTTTTTTTGTGCCCTAAAATGAAGTTACAGTAATACCTCGGTTTATGAATTTAATTCGTTCTGCTGGTCTTTTTCGTGTAGCGAAAAATTTGTAAACTGAAAAACTGTTTCCTATAGGTGTGCATTGAAAACCAATTAATCCAATCCGAAGGTCATAAAAACAGTAAACGCTACTAAAGTACTGCATGAGTTATTAACCCTTGCGGTATTTTAGTAGTGATAACCATGTGTTAATGTTTCAGCTGTCGGCAGGGTTCCACACTGACAGCTGAATATAAAAGAATTACTGGCAATTAAAACAATTAAAAAAAGGCGTGGGGTTCCCCCTTCCATCCATACCAAGCCCTTCGGGTCTGGTATGGATTTTAAGGGGAACTTAAAAGTGTAGTGTAAAAAAACAGGACACTGTCTTTTGACAAGTTCTTTAATAAAAGAAAAATCTAAAATGTCCCCCGCAGTAGATCCAATGTCAATCAAGATGTCCGCCGCCCCTTACATATTTAAGAACTGTCAAGCCAGGTCAGACAGAGGGCTGGCAGCCAGCTTTGGAAATGGCACCCTTTTTTTTTTTTTTTTTTTTTTTAATAGTTTATTTCTTTAAGTTAAAAGAAACAATGTTTCCTTTCAGTTTCTTAAGATAAAGTTTCCTGTCACTCTGGGCAAAGTAACAGCTAATGTTGTGGGCTATAGTGAAAAAAAAAAAAAAAAAAGACGGCAATTGCATTTAAAAATCAGCACTGGCATACGCTTCATATTGCGAAAAAAAAATTTGTAAACCGAGGCATTATTTTCAATGTATTTTCATTCATAAGCTGAAAATTGTTAACCGAGGCATTCGTAAACCAAGGTATTACTGTACTTGTATTTTTTTTTACTGGTGATTTGTGGTAATGTCATGTGATATAAAAAATTTGAACTACCACTATTGTATTCTCTAGGGTCTCTGCTTTCAGAAAATATGTTTGGGGGTTTCATGTACAGGTGAAACTCAAAAAATTAGAATATCGTGCAAAAGTTCATTTATTTCAGTAATGCAACTTAAAAGGTGAAACTATTATATGTGAGAGACTCATTACATGCAAAGCAAGATAGGTCAAGCCGTGATTTGTGTGTGATTATGGCTTACAGCTCATGAAAACCCCAAATCCACAATCTCAGAAAATGAGAATATTACATGCAATCAATAAAACAAGGATTGTACATAGAACAATATCGGACCTCTGAAAAGTATAAGCATGCATATGTACTCAGTACTTGGTTTGGGCCCCTTTTGCAGCAATTACTACCTCAATGTGGCGTGGCGTGGAAGCTATCGGCCTGTGGCACTGCTGAGGTGTTATGGAAGACCAGGATGCTTCAATAGCGACCTTCAGCTCTTCTGCATTGTTCGGTCTCATGTCTCTCATCTTTCTCTTGGCAAAGCCCCATATATTCTCTATGGGGTTCAGGTCAGGCCAGTTTGCTGGCCAATCAAGCACAGTAATCCCACGGTCATTGAACCAGGTTTTGGTGCTTTTGGCAGTGTGGGCAGGTGCCAAGTCCTGCTGGAAAATGAAGTCAGCATCCCCATAAAGCTTGTCTGCGTAAGGAAGCATGAAGTGCTCCAAAATCTCCTGGTAGACGGCTGTGTTGACCCTGGACTTAATGAAGCACAGTAGACCAACACCAGCAGATGACATGGCTCCCCAAATCAACACAGACTGTGGAAACTTCAAGCATCTTGCAGTGTGTGCCTCTCCATTCTTCCTCCATACTCTGGGTCCTTGGTTTCCAAATGAGATGCAAAAGTTGCTTTCATCAGAAAAGAGGACTTTGGACCACTGAGCAACAGACCAGGTCTGTTTTTCTTTAGCCCAGGTAAGATGCTTCTGATGTTGGTTGTTCAGGAGTGGCTTGACAAGAGGAATACGACATTTGAAGCTCATATCCAGGATCCATCTGTGTGTGAGTGCTGGCTCTTGATGCACTGACTCCAGCCTCAGTCCACTCCTTGTAAAAGTCATCAACACTTTTAAATGGCCTTTTCCTGACAATCCTCTCCAGGCTGTGGTCATCCCTGCTGCTTGTGCACCTTTTTCTTCCACACTTTTCCCTTCCACGTAATTTTCTATTAATGTACTTTGATACAGCACTTTGGGAACATCCAACATCTTTTGCAAGTACCTTTTTTTTTGAGGCTTTATGGAGAGTGTCAATTATGTTTTTCTGTACAACTGTCAGGTCAGCAGTCTTTCCTATGATTGAGATTCCTACTGAACCAAACTGAGACCATGTAAAGGCTCAGGAACCCTTTGCAGGTGTTATGGCTTAATTAGCTGATTAGAGTGGGATACTTTGAGCCTAGAATATTGCACCTTTTCACACTATTCTAATTTTTCTGAGATTGTGGATTTTGGGTTTTAATGAGCTGTAAGCCATAATCATCACAATTATGACAAATCACGGCTTGACCTATCTCCTATACTTTAACCTTTTAAGTTGCATTACTGAAATAAATGAACTTTTGCACGATATTCTATTTTTGAGTTTCACCTGTAATCTTCAGGCCAAAAACTTTTTTTTTTTTTTTTCCCGTGTTCAAAAAGGGGTCTGGCAGCGAAAGGGGTAAAGTATAAGCCCTGACACCCCCCCCCCCCCCCCATTCCTTTTTTTTTTCATGCTATAGTGCCTTTATTTTTTTTGTAGGAGTCTAAAGCATTGCATCCACGATCTGCAGATCGTGGTGCAATGTAGGGCTCCTGCAGGCTTGGTGTACCTGTCTGCTAGTACATCATATGGGCAGGCAGTTGCACAATGACAGAATCGGTGAACTACCTAGAGTGCTCACTAGTGTGCCCTGGTAGTTCATTGAGAACTACAAGCCATCAGCCGCAAAGGCTGTCTGTCGATACTTGTAGTTCATTCATATACAGGAAACGGAATGATGTGGCCTTGTGGGCCGCGTTCTTGTCAAATTGTGACAGCATGTGCGGGAAGACAACCCCCAGCACGCTGTCACAATTTGCAGCGGGGAGGCTGTGGGAGTGGAAACATGTAACATGTTCTGAAAGTTGAACTTCTTCTTTTTAAAGCCCTTCTAAACACTCGGGGCTCATTCAAATGGGTGACTCCTACGTGCAGAGCCACTGGCAAATGTGTACATTCACTTCAAAGCTACGTGCAAGCAACCCATAGAGACACATGCAGTAGCTACACGGACTCCATCGCAAGTTTGACATGCATGAAGATAAAAACCCAGTGTGCAGCTCCTCCATACTTAAGGGAGCACGCTTTCAATTCAGCGATGTGCATGAGAGCAGCGTCTCTCGGCCCGGTTTCCTTATTGGCTCAAAAGCAGCCATTTGGCTCCATTACTGTCAATCACAGCTGGAGGAGGGGGGTTGGTGTGGGCAGAGCTGTGCTCTGTGTGTGTCTATGAATGCACAGCAGGAAAGTGTGTGTGTGTGTGTGTGTATATGTGTATGTATATAACACATACATATACGTGGCTTAAAACTTCACATCCTGAGCTACTAGCCAGGCCTTAAAGAGTTACTCGTCACCAACAAACAGACGCCTGTACACACACACACACACAGACACATGTACATACATAAACGCGTACTTGCACGTACACACACACAGAGAAACGTACAGATAAAGACACACTGTTAAGTGCTCTCTCCTCTCCCCTGAAGCCACCACTGGCTTACAGAGGATCATGTGACCAGAAATTAGGTGCACACACAGCCCTATAAAAGTTGCAGTACTTAGTTGTTCACTCACAGAGCCGGGTACTGCACTCTAGGGGGAGGCAGAGAGCCTCAGCACACACTCCGTCTTTTGCTTTCACTGCGCTCAGCTATTGAGCAGTCTAATGGCTCCCAGTGCCAATGACAGATCTGGCCTGAGCTCCAAGCCTGCTCAGCAAGACTGCCCTGGGGGGCACACTCTCCTCCACCATAATTTCCACTCTCCATTGGCGAGTGGAAATTTAAGGCCGAATTGTGTGTATAGATAGATATAGCTGTGTGTGTGTGTGTGTGTGTGTGTGTGTGTGTGTGTGTGTGTGTGTGTGTGTGTGTGTGTGTGTGTGTGTGTGTGTGTATATATGTGTAATAAATATATATATATATATATATATATATATATATATATATGCATTTAGCCAGTACAGGAGACTGTCTACTGCAGATGTGAGGGAGTGGCTGCAAGAGGCAGGAGAGGAGCAGTGTACACAGTGACTAGCTGTCACTGTCAGTGTCGGTTTTTAAATGTAGTTACCGGCTTTTTTTTTTTTTTTTTTTTTTTCACTGTATCTCACAGAATTAGCTGTCACTTTCCCCCCAGCTTAAAGAAACTTTCCTTTTTAGTTTATTTCCCGAGTTAAAAGAAACAGTTTTCTTTAGCTCTGGGGAAAGTGACAGCTAAAAAAATCCGGCAATTGCATTTAAAAACTGGCACTGAACAGGACAGCCAATGAGGGAGCCACTCTGCATACACTGCTCCCCTCCTGCCCCCTGCTTTCACACACTGCCCCTACCCCTCCAAAGTGGACCTGTCGCTCATATGCAATCACATAGGGGACTATTGGACCCTATGTGATGGCAATAAAATCATAGGTTAAAAAAAAATATACATGAAAGTAGAAAAAATACAATAAAAAAATTGGAGCCTCCCTCACTTTTCACAGACTATTCAGTGTGGGTTCTTGCAGTTGGGACCATATGTGCACGCGAACAGCAGCAGCTGCTCAGCCAATATAAACTGACAAGCCGTCGGTGACTACCGCACACAAAGCAGTTACCTGCAGTTAGGGACAGAGGGTCTGGACTCAGCTGACTTCTACAGGCTCGGACATCTCTTCCCTACCTGCAGGTAACCTGTGGTGTGTTAACAGTGGCAGCTGTATATTCACATGGCACCCACTGTTTCTTGCTACTGGAATGCGGTAGAGGCAGGCCTTTAGCACCAAATTTGTATTTATTTTTTCATACTGTATTCAGTGGAAGTAATGTTGGCTGAAGCATTTCATTATGCACACAGACATTTGCAGGCATAAAATATCTACCATTTACTTCCCAGCTTTTTCCATTCTCCTAGGTATCGCCTACAGCCAGCCAAAGAAGTGAAACCCTCTTCACCCCTGTGGTGATGTTTCTGTGCATCGGCATTTACCTGCACATACAGCGTTTTTAAGAGAGCTAAATTTCCATGTTTGCATGGAGGAGAAAAGCTGTAAAATGACAGTTCCCAAACTCGCCACCATGTGGTTCATCCCCAATTAGATGGAACTATTACACATGAACTCCTTGAAACTCTGTTAGGTTTTAAGTGTCCATCTTTTAATAGTATTACTTAATAAAAGGATACTGCACTATGAGTCGAAGTCCAGATGGCAAAATGCGCTGGGTGGAGTCTATATTTGGTGACATTACATGCAGAACATGTGGTAGCAGGGAGCTGTGCAGCAGTCAGTGTGCTCTACCTATAGTTATTTAAGCGGTTTAGCTGTTAGTGCTGGGGAACAATTGTGTTTTTAAGTGTTCACCTTTTTTCTTTTGATGTGACTTGGTAAAGGATACTGATGCTTTTGCTGTCCATTGAGCGGTCAAAGGAGAATGCAGCAGTATGAAAAATAAAAATGAATCCGACCTGGCTTAAAAACTACAAATACTTTTTGGAAGATAAACAGTTCACATATGTACCTGAACTGTATTGTGAATTTTGGCTGGTGCTCGGTTTTAATTTTGCTTTATAAAGCATCTGGATAAAGGATAATTTTGTTACGTTTAACTGAAATTTTAAAAGAATCTTCGTTCATTTTTCCATTTAACTTCAGTGTTTTTGTTTTACAAATGCCTTTTTTTTTTTTTTTTTTTTTTTTTTTTTCTTTAATCACCGAACATGATTCTTTTAAAACCTCAGGTAACCTAACCAGACTTGTACATTTTAATGATATTCAGCATATTTCAATGTCTATAACATATTTTTTTTTTCCCCCTCCCCCCTGTGTACTACCTTAGACTATGCGTTTGTTCATATGGAGAAAGAAAGTGACGCTAGGGCAGCAATCGAGAATCTGAATGGAAAGGAGATCAAAGGAAAACGGATTAACGTGGAGATGTCAAATAAAGTTTCAAGGCCTGTGAGCGCTAACGGTAGTGCTCATAATAATCGCGCACGTAGGCCTCATGATATGCGAGAAACCCCACAGAACCGTTCTGATGCATATAATCGTAGGAGGGCAGCTGAAGCAGCCTATGCATCCTTTGCTCTAAAATCGCCATATGAGCAATTTTCAGGTGATAATGCACGTTATGCTTTTGAAAGTAGAATGCGCCCACCTTCTCCTCCTCTTTTTTATTCACGAGACCGAAGTCCCCTAAGAAGATCACCCACAAGGTCACCCTATGGTCTTGCACAGTCCGCTGCTTCACTTGCATCAAAATTCCGTACTTCAGCATCAGGCTATGGTTCCTTACCATCTGCCTATGGGGATCAACCAACTTCATCATTATCTGCTGCCTACGGTAGTCAGTCGTCGTCTTTAGCTGCTGCCTATGGAACCCGAGCCAGTACACTTGCAACTGCTTACGGCAATCAAGGTGGATTTGACAGCCAGCCCTCAGCTTATGGGACAGAAACACAACCTTCATATGGCACACAAAGTTCTACAGCCTATAGCACTCCAGGATCGTCTCTGTCTGCCAGTTATGGGTCCCATCTATCTGCAGTGGCGACGTCTTACAGCGCTCAGACCTCGTCCAATCTTTATCCATCACATTCTACCAGTTCCCCATATGCGTCGTCCTCGGCACTGGCTAGTGCTTATCGTCCACAGCAGAGTACCGTCTATGACAATACTCAAATGGGTGGCCTTGGAATGCAAACCGCTTACTCGTCTCTGTCGTCTTCAATAGATGCGCCGATGTATGAGCGCACCCGTCTTTCACCGCCGCTAAGCTCTGTTACCGACGGCTACAAGAAGACGATGGACAATTATAAAAGGTATGTAACTCAGCTACTATGCTAACGTGTAGCAGTACAGCTATATGCTCGTCTGGCCTAATCATAATTATTCCTTGTGCAAATGCATAATCCTTGTTTTGGCATTTTTGTGACTTGTTGCATTAATGTGATAGTAAAGGTTTATTTTCTTTAAACTCGTCTGCATTGTACAGAGCAGTCCCTTGCCACCACTTTTTCAGTTCCCTGTCAGTGCTGGCTACTCCTTCTTCTTCCCTTTTTTTTTCCTCTGGGTGTCCCCTCAGCAAGCTGGGTGCTAAGGGTGCACGTGTGCTATAGACACAGTGCTGGTAAGCCCCCCCCCCCCCCCGCTCCCTCCACAGGAATTCGACCTATGGCTTCTGCTGCTCACGGTCTGCTATGAAACGAAGGAGAGAGGTGCAGCCAGGGGAGCGCTGGATCGGTCACTCGGGTAAGTGTTTGTGTTGGCGTGGTTTTTGTTTTTTTTTTTTTTTTTTTTTTTTCCTCCATTTTTGTATTTCATTGGAGGGTTTTTTTTTTTTTTTTTTTTTTTTTTTTTTTCCCTTCCTGTCCATAATGAAAATAGGATTTGAGAGAAAATCCTTGGTCTCTCCAGAACACCAGAAGTAGCATCCCCAATGGAATATTGCCCCTCTCCCATTACTTTCCTTGGCACAGCCCAAATTTTGTGATATTAATTTTTTTTTTTTTTCTCTAATACATCTCCACTCTGCCCTTAACTTAAAAAAAAATAAATTTTGGCTTTAGTTATACTTTAATGCAGATAATGCATTAGGGTAAACCACCTTTTGAGTTTAGAAACACTTTAATATTAATGATGCCCAATATTAGGAAATGTTAGTCTAGATATTACTGTCCTGAATGAACCTGGCACAGTTCCCCAATGTTCTTTTTGTGAATTGGTGCCCAAAACTGAACTGCATATTCCAGATGAGGTTTTACTAATTTGTACGGGGATAAAATATGGCTCTCTGGAGTCTATACCTCTTTTAATACAAGAGAGGATTTTGTAGAAACCCAGTACGTATGATGCATGCATATATATATTTTTAGCCCACAAGTACATAACCTTACATTTATCAACATCAAACCTCATTTGCCACATAGTTGCCCAATTAAACAGTGTATTGAGGTGGGCTTGTAAGTTGGAGACCTCCTGTAAGGATGTTATTCCACTGCAAAGCTTGGTGTAATCTGCAAAGACTGAAACAATACTTTTTAATACTTTTTATAAAACTATATAGTGTCTAGGATTAAAAAAGTAAGGATCCAATGGTTATTTGTGTGGGGTTTTTTTTTGTGGAGAGGGATTAGAACACTTAATGGGCTTTTATTGCTGTGTGCGCCTTGGCGATAATGGATTCCCTCACATTGGAGGAATTTCTTCTTACTTTCTGTATTTGAGATGTTACAGGACGTAAAGAAGTATCCCCAATTGCACAGATGGGGGGGGGGGGGGACATGACCAGTTATAACCATCCTTTACTCATATCCAGAATGGAGGAAAAAAAATGCCTTTAGTCCTACTTTAATTCTATATAGAGTTCTGGTCCTAGACATTATATAGGTACTCAAAGTACAAAATCAAAAATTACACATATGATGCAGGCTGTTGCTAGTGTTAATGTGTTTTGTTTTTTTTTTTTTTTTTTTTTTTTTTTTTTTGATTCCCCTGTAACAGTTTACTTATCCTGTCAATCCCACCAGTTTTACCATTGCAGCCATGAGTTTGTCTAAACCTTTTTCAATAAAATGAGGGTATGTAAATGTGTATTAAATTAATTTAAATATATGGGGTGTGTGTATACATATATACCATATGATAGAGAGTTAAAAGGACAAACTCCAGTAAAAGGTGGCAGTTAGAGGTCTTGGGATGAACAATATCACAATGAATGGGTGCTTAAACTGTTCATGTGAGTAAAACTTTTTTTTTTTTTTTTTTTTTTTTTTATTTGTTAATCCATCTAAAACTAGTTTGTCCACAAGTAACATGTACATAGATCTCTGCAATTTTTTTACTGCAGCATGAACAGCGTCAACAAATTTAAAATGAAAACTGCTTTGTTAATGGTGTTGAGACTGCATCATATATAATCTTTGGTTTTGCCCATAGTTTGCTTTACAGGTATTTGTATAGTGGCATCAATTTATGCTTTTAGATGCTATTCATTCATATCAGCCCCTGCCTTCAAGAAGCTTACAGTTTAAGGTCCCTATCTTGCTTGTATGCATACACATACAGACACGGGCCAATTTAACCTACCAGCATATCTTTGGAGTGAGGGAGAAAAGTAGCATTCACCCACGCATGCACAGGTAGAATGTGCCAACTCCAGGTAGATAGTGTCCTAAACTGGATTTGAACCTAGTGTGGTAAGGCTGATGTGTAAACTTGTGATCCACCGTACTGCCCATTGTTCACTTTATTCCTTAGCCAGAGATTAGCTATAACAATTCAGAGGGTTTTTTTTTTCTTTTTGTTTTTTCTTTTTCTTGTTAAATTTGGTTAAAAAAAAAACCCTTTGAAGAAAGATGCCTGTTCTCTAATACCACTTCAAAATCTTCTACCTAGAGATTCCAGCCCACGTGGGCATCCCCTATACCTGTCAGACATTTAAAATGTCATGAAAAGTAGGTGGTTTTCTGGCTTTGTAAGCCACCAGTTTCATTTCAACAAGACAAAAAGTCACCCTATTTGAAATTTGATCTCAAAAGGGTAGGTTTTGTTAAAGGAAAGGGGGAGCTTTTCCTGTGATTCCACAGGATTCCATTTACATAACCTCACCTAGGCCATGCTTCCCCTTTTCTAACAGGTGGATGGCATGTATAGCTACAGTTCTATTGCCACTGCAAAGTTTCTCCTGCTCCAGTCACATTTCTGCCTCCTCTGATTGTTGCCTTCTGGTCCAGCAATATTTCTGCAACCTTTTGCTTTCTTCTCTGTCCATATATCTCACAGTGCTCCATGTTTGCCAGGGGTGACTCCTCTAAGCATTCCTGCATCACCAGTTTGTCACAAATGGAGAATGCTAAGTGTAACAAGCTGAATATACAGGAATGCTCTTGTGATGCCACCCTCTCCTTGGTGTAGCTGAACAAACTGGCTTTTTCTGCACTCAAGTCTTTAGGGTTGTCTTTGCTTACTACTAGTTTTTAGGACCTGCCCCCTGAACCGCTGCACTTTTCCACTTTTCTATAGAGAAGGTCTTTACCACTGCTCCACTATCTCTCCTCTCCTGTCACTGCCTACTCTTGTTTCATTCCCCACCACCCTGTTGCTGTGCCAAATGACGCTGCACACCTACAGATTAAAGTGTGCGTAAAGGACACTCTTTTTGATAGTGTTGGAAGGATTTTACTGTTATGTACAGAACCTGTGGGGTTCAACTCTTTGTTCTGATGATCATTTTACACGTAGACGGAGCGTAGTTGGAAATTCAAATTGTTACATGCAAAAGGTGATGAAAAATCATCCAGTTGGATCATATGTTCTAGTGACAACGGTCCTAAGATGGGAAGTCTTCATTTTGAACGGTTTCATTTTTATTTCTTGTGTGACAGGAACTGAGAACATCCCCAGCAGGGTAAAGGCAGCAACAAATAAATAACCGCAGTGTATATCTTCTGTTATCTGAAACTACCTATCGTTGCATTTAGAAGTGTAGAACTTGACTAATTTTGTTCATAAAATGTAAATGCTTACATGTTTTAGAGCTTCACCATACTTGCAGGTGTAAATGTTTTCTAAGCCTCTGTTCACACTAGTGCAGCTTGAAGCCACTACGGGACCCACTCTACATCCTGCAGCCCACACACAACACGGGACCCGTGGTCAGGCGTCATTTATCTTAATGGCATGCCACGCGCACTGGAAATCGCACTGTAGTTCCGTTCCCATTGCAGGCTGCGATTTCTGGAAAGGTGCAGGGACCTTTTTCCTGCAGTTTGTGAGGCATGGCAGCTCATTCAAATGAATGGACTGCCATCCCCCTTCCCGCAAATGTGCACTACTGTGAACCAATCCTAAAAACTAGTAAATTGTTGTTAGTCTGGTCTCCCTAATCCTCCTTTTTTTTAAAACCCAGTAGAATGATTAAAGCTCATCACTCCACTTGTATATTAAGTCTTAACTTTCCTAATGTTCAGCCTTTATGTTTCTTAGAATTTTTGCTGCGTTTTTTTTCTTTTAATTAAAACTTCCTTTTGTGTTTCGACAGCAGGCTTGCTTCTGACCGCCGTTTTTCAGAATTAGCTGACTATCGCCGTTTAACACAGGAAACACAGGATCCTTTCCGCCGGTCGCCACCCAAAACTCAGCTGGACTTCCGTCGCATGACTGAATCACAGCAGTCCGATTACTCTTCATACCCTTACGGTGATTTCATGAGAGGGTCATCGCTATCTGGCTATCAGCGCCGTTTGTAGTAGCGTTAAAGGGTGGTTGGAAATTTGTGTGTAGATTGAGGTCTTTCTGTGTGATTTAATACAGAAAATTCTGGGTTCCTAATTTTGAAGAATTTTTTTCTTTTTTTTGATCTGTATAACTGTTTTAAAAATACTTTGAAATCTAGCCAGTGGTGTAATATATACTACATGGATAAATCCTTTACAGCAGTGTAATATATATACTACATGAATTATTTTACAGCAGATTTTTACACATATGTTTATTTACATGGCAGCACAGGATCACTTGTATATGAATTGTAGATCTGCTGAAAGAAGCCACTAATGCTTACCCTTTGGTGGCCTGTTGAAACATTGCTACTTCACTGCTCTCTAGCCTCAGCTGCCCAGATGGATTCATAACTGAATTCCCACACAACATAATGCAGTGGTGCTTTCTTCCACACTCCTGTAATTATGAAATGCATATAGTGGCTGGCAAGGAGGGTGTTTCAACAAATGGGCAAGTGGAAAAGTACACACCTGCTAAATTACAAAGCTCAATTTTGATATGTGAAACATCTGTCTGAACAACTCCTTAGTACAAAGCAGGTTCTATACTCTTTTGTGCGTTTTAACCCCTTGTTGGGAGTTGTAAATCAAGCAGTTGGTGTTTTCAGCTGGGGCAAGTCAATACGTTCGATCTCGTCTTCACAAATGGATAAACGTCATCTGATTTCCAGTCTTAGTGGAATGGGGGGGGGGGGGGGGTAGTAAAGAGATGTTTCAGAATAAGTTATCCACATACCAACACCGTGCTTCCGTCTTAGCCTTAAAAGGGATGCGATTGGAACAGGCATTTTGGCCAACATTGCACAGCATATATTGAATCCCACTTGGATTATATATTTTTTTTTTTTTTTTTTTTTTTTTTTTTTTTTTTTTTTTTTTTTTTGTGCCGAGTACCAGTATTTGATTCATCCAAATGTGGATGGGTTTTGGGTAGAACCAGAGGGTTGCAACACTGGTGTAAAAACATTCATAACTCTGGTATTTTTAAATGGCAATGGTTTTTAGTAAATGTTTTTTTTTTTCTTTGCATTTAAATTCTAAGTGGAGCTGCAAGAAGTATGTGTAACTAGGCTAAAGCTAATTAAACAGAAGTTGTCATGTGCTACATATTGTGACACAGGATTAAGAATACATTATCAATACAACTATCGCTTTAACACTTTCCCTAGTTTTCATGATGCATGTTTCTTTAGAACTTTTTTTTTTCTGCATGTGTTCATGACCATTAAAACATGTCTTTTTGTATTTTTGGTAAAGAAAAAAAAAAAAATTAAATGTTTCATTGCTGTATTAAATTGGAGTTCTTGATTTATTTATATTTACAAATTTTTATTTTAGGGACCATTCTGGGTCAATCTGAAACTGCAAGACTGAACCACTTAGCAAGTTACATTTTTAAATTCCAGATCTAGGCAGCTAAACATGACCTTTGTTGCCATCTCTCCCCATCTGATACATAATATATTTCTGGTTTTGTTAAGGAGATGATTCAAGAGTACACTTGCCGTTCATTGTTGCCCTGCACACCAGTTCTGGTAGTGATTATCAATCTGACAGCCTCTTTATTTCGCTGGTCTGACTGGTCATCTTGCCAGCTCATTTACAGATATGATGTACTTGGCAGGACCAGGGACCATATTTCAGGAGAGCAAAGAGGACCAGTGTGCAAGCTCAAGTGAGCGCTGCTCAGCCCTTCATAGGAAGCCTTCTATTTTTAAGCATGAATACAAGGCTTTCCTCTGCTGATTGGATGGATGGTCACAATCTTGAACTGCCTTGAACAGCTAGGAAGCATTGTATTCACTTGTTCTGGAAGGCATTCTGTGAAAGACTGAGCTGTGCTCGGCCCAACTCCTATTTTATTCCGGGGATGGGAAGTCCTTGTACTGCTGTCGAAACAGTGTTCTTTGCTGCATCAGTTGTTTGGGCCAGCTTGGTTGAAATGTGTTCTTTAAAGTCATTGTTCTTTGAGTTGGGGTTTCTGGACCTTTCTGGTTTAAAGCATATTGAGCTGTGGATGTCTGGCAAACCTTGGTTTTTAATTTAGCACAAAAACATTCATTGTCCATTGATAACCCATGTGGCCACATTGTCAAGATTGTGACTTTTCCTTTTCAATTGCAATTTCATGTGGTACAGTTATGCAAGAAAACTGAGGCAGGGATGAGCCTAAAAAGTCTACAACGTCTGCCTCCTAATTCTCTACCTCATGAAGTTAAAGCTGTGTTACCTCAAAAGAAAGCATTATATTGCAGCTTACCCATTCTTAGTCGTGGTGGGTGCATTAGTTTTTTTCCGTTTTTATTTTAACCTGGTGATCCAGCCAGAATGCCTTTTTGTTTTTCAACAGGAGCTGTACTGCAGATGTAGCAGTTGGAGTGCAGAGACCAAGGGTACTTATAATCAGATTTTATTTAATCATTTATCAGACACGGGAAAAAAAATAGTGTGTGTGTACATATCTCCCCAGACTGGTAATGCTGCTGTCCAAAGAGTTGCCCCCGTTTCATCCAATACAGCAGGTGTGTTACTGGCCTGATCACCAGGGGAAAACGAGAGGGGGCTAGAAAAAAAAATCAACTACCACATCAGCTACAATATATTAAATGTTTTGGTTTTAATACATGGAGATTTACCGTATTTTCCGGCGTATAAGACGACTGGGCGTATAAGACGACCCCCTACTTTTCCTGTTAAAATATAGGGTTTGAGCTATACTCGCCGTATAAGACTACCCCTCTTCCAACGCACACCAAATAAAAATGAAAAAACATCAGATTTGATTTCAATATGGTATGCTATTTCAGTATGGTATTCCAATGATGGGGCACTATTCCTCCCACTGACACCAATGATGGGACACTATTCCTCCCACTGACACCAATGATGGGACACTATTCCTCCCACTGACACCAATGATGGGGCACTATTCCTCCCACTGACACCAATGATGGGGCACTATTCCTCCCACTGACACCAATGATGGGGCACTATTCCTCCCACTGACACCAATGATGGGACACTATTCCTCCCCCACTGACACCAATGATGGGACACTATTCCTCCCCCGTTGGTGTCAGTGACACCAATGATGGGGCACTATTCCTCCCACTGACACCAATGATGGGGCACTATTCCTCCCACTGATACCAATGATGGTGCCCCATCATTAGTGTCAGTGGGGTAAGGAATAGTGCCCCATCATTAGTGTCAGTGTGTAAGGAATAGTGCCCATCATTAGTCAGTGGGGGGAGGAATAGCGCCCCATCGTTGGTGTCAGTGGGGGAGGAATAGCTCCCCATCGTTGGTGTCAGTGGGGGAGGAATAGCTCCCCATCGTTGGTGTCAGTGGGGGGAGGAATAGCTCCCCATCGTTGGTGTCAGTGGGGGAGGAACAGTGTCTCATCGTTGGTGTCAGTGGGGGAGAGGAGCGGCTGCTCCTTCTTCCAGTTCGGCCGCTCCGCTCCGCCTCCTCGCCGGTGATTGGTCGCCTGTGTGCCTTTCCAGTGCTAGCTCCCAATCACCGGTGAGGAGGCGGAGCCGAGCGGCCGCTTGACCATCGAGCGGCCGAACTGAAAGGAGCAGCTGCGCTTCCTGGACCGGATCGTCGTGGGACCGGAGCCAGGTAAGGTACAGCAGCCCCTCTGCCCACCCCTGTACTTGGTGTCCGTTGGAGGAGGAGGGGGGGCTGCGCCGCCCCTCGAAAAAGTGCCGCCCTGACACCGGCTCGCACCGGCGTATAAGACGACCCCCGACTTTTCAGAAGATTTTCAGGGGTTGAAAAGTCGTCTTAGACGCCGGAAAATACGGTACTAAAACTGGTGTACTCAGAATCTGGTGCAGCTGTGTATTGTAGTCATTCCACTAACTTTTAGCTTGTTCACTAAAGCTGCAACAAAACCTAGAAGATGATTGGTTTCTATGCTGAGCTGCAGCAGATTTTGCATTTTTAGCAAGTCAACCCTATAAACCAGGTGTGTCTGTAAGAGGAGGGTGTTGAGTACAATATCACCCATGTGTTTTTAGTTTTATATATTTAAAATGAACACGTATTTGCAACATTATTGGATCTTTTAAGTTCATACTTGCATGTTATAACACATTAAGACTTAACACCAGCCAGATGAAAAACTCATAATGGGCTGATTAGGGAATAATAAAAATGTTAATGTTTGATTTGTCTACAGTACCAACAGAAAGTTTCCATAAATGAAAAGGGAAACCCTATTGGTGGTTTAATTTCTGTGCCAATCGTTAGTCTTGAAGCAATGCAAATGGGAGGCAGCAAGACTTCTAAAGTGTATTTTCCACTTTTAGTCAAATGTGTGAAAACCCCTTAACACAGCAAATCTTACAAAATTTTTTTTTTTTTTTTTTTTTTTTTTTTTTTTTTTTTTTTTAAATCTTGCCTTTCAAAGGGTGTGAAGATGTCAGGGCTGATTCTATTAACATCTAGATGGCCTTAGGAGTCTTTGTCCCCATGTTATCCCTAAGACATTTTTAAGCCTTTTTGTTTAGTGTTCAAATCTAGTTTACAGCTGTTAATGAAGAACTACAAAACATGGTATGAAGAGGATTAATTACTCCACAGCCCCCTCCTAAACATTACAAAACTGAGAGCATGTAAGGATTTTAAGCAGGTTAAAAGGATTTAAACCAGCAACAACCTTTTTTTTTTTTTTTTTTTTTTTTTTTTTTTTTTTTTAAATGTATTATGTTAATTGGACATATAACAAATATAAACTAGGTGTTATCCCAATTTGACTGCTAACGTGGAAAGGCAGTTTAAGGAAGAAAATACCCTTGACTACAAAATACACCAGAAAATGGAAGATTTGGGCTCAAAGAATGATTGATATTTTTTTTTTTTTTTTTTTTTTTTCTTTCTCCCCCTAGCTAAAAGTTAGTGCTGTAATACTTTTTAATATTCTGTGTTTGAAATAAAGTGTTAAATATGGCAAAATGGTTTTAAGATTGCTTTTTAATGCAAAGTTAGTCCTTGCAATGCAGGGGTCTTATACACTTGCTAAATGGGTTCACCAATGACCACCTTTAGTACAATCTGCTGCTAGGTAAAAAAAAAACAAAGCATGCTGTGCAAACACAAGGGTTTATTTATTAAAATTTGCAGAGCTGTTTTGTTCAGTGAAACTGTATTCCCATTTGTTATATATGAATGGGACCAAAAATTAATATTGCTAGGCGATTTTTGAGCCATGCTGAATGTATTTAATCCATGCAGAATGCAAAATAACATTTGTTCTTTCCCCAACTGAATAGAACAAATGTATATTCAATTTCATAGGACAGAGTAGCCCCAAAGGAGCCCAGGGTTTTGTTTTTTAATATTTGCAGCTCACTCTTTCCACCCTTCAGTGCTCTGCCGCTGGTTCTCTTACCCATTGAAGCAGGCCCAAGGTCAATCAAACTTAACCGCTTGACCTCCAAAAGGTTTTTACTCCTTTCATAACCAGGGCACTTTTTGTTATTCTGCACTGCTCTACTCCACTGTCAGTTTTGCAACACTGTATGCAAACAAATTTTTTTTTTCTTCACACAAAGCTTTCTTTTGGTGATATTTGATCACCTCTGGATCTTTTATTTATTTTTTATTATATAAACAAGAAAACACCCAAATTTTGGGAAAAAACAATTTTCTACTTTTATGGTATAAAACATATCCAGTTAAAAAAAATCTTCATAAATGTAGGCCAAAATGCTATCTGCTACATGTATTTGGTACAAAAAAAAAAAACTGAATGAATTTTCCTTAGAAAATCGGAAATTTTGTAATCCAATGGTGCCTTCATTTATTTTGAAATTCAACTAACCAAGCCTTCAATTTCACCTCGCTAAAGAAAAGCATTTTCATGACTGGGAATCTTCTTTTCGTTCCGGGTCACAGCTCATTCCTTTCAATTATATTTCTCCCAAAAATCTCTCATCATTGGCTAGGAATTTTTTTGGTTTTAAAAAAATATCCAACATACCTGATCACTCAAATTCAATGTCACACAAAAATCATCCGATGCTGTGCCCCACTAATGTGCAAAATGTTAATAAACTTTAGTTACGATTCCGAAAGCAAATTCTTTCGGAATTTGACCCATGTATGGACTGGAAATACACTGGAATTATGCAGCTATGAATCTATACTGTTAATGGCAGTGAGAGTGTGGCAGGCAATATGATGCCAACTGGCATCAACAGTGACACTAATACAGCGATCAGTGTTAATACTGTGCACTGTCACTGTACTATTGACACTGGCTGGGAAGGGGTTAGCATCTGGTGCAACCAAAGGGTTAACTGTGTCTAAGTGGGCACACAACCGCCCTAGTGTAACTCCATTTATTTATAATTAAAATCACAAAACTGAACACAACTCACATGATATTGTGATAATGAGGCACTTAATATGTGATGCTTTTACTTTAAAATCTGTTTTTCTCTCAGATTTTCAGGGAAAAGGAACAGCCAGATCGCTCTTTACAGTACACAGAGTTCTGTGTTTTTGTAAACGAAAAACTGTGATGAACCCTTTCCTGTTTGGCCTATAGCAAAATGACAGCTGGATGGCACTTTCGTTAATCCAGGTGGACGTCATAGGACAGCCTCCCGAATTGCCGCCTCTCACGCTGCACTGTGGTGAGACTGCTGTGACCAGTTGCAGCAGGTCACATGACAATTGTAAACAATGGATGGCTTCCTTTCATGCCATCCATTGTATATAGTTGTGTACAGTTGTATATAGCTGTGTTGCTAACTGTGATTGTTCATAGTGATCAGATGGTACATCATGACAAAACAAACTAAATGAATCCATTTAATTCAGTAAAATGTTTAACCTCCCTGGAGGTATTCCCGAGTGTAGCTCGAGGTAAAGTATCAGCACCACAAGCGGTAACCCCGAGCTACACTCGGGTATACCCTGCAGCGTTGCTCCAAGATCCCTTCTGCACTTACCTTGTCCTTCGCTCCCGCGATGTCCCCCCTGCAGCGTCCACGACCATCTCCTCCGGCCACTGCTGGCATCAGTCTTCCGGGTTCTGTTCCCTGTGACGACGGGACGTAATAAGTGACATTCACTCAATACACTAAAATCACATAGTAAAACATTACTGTATCAAACCATTTCACATACATTTTATCCCTAGTGCTTTGTCCTGTGCCCTGCCTGCATTTTTACTGTTCTTTCTCCCTGGAAACTGAGCAATGTCCATGGTGTCCAAAAAGCGTCCCTTTAGGTAAAAGCGGTTTTAGATCAGCTAAAGAACAGCGATAGTAAATTAGAACCACTTGCAGAATTGAGTGATAATGATTCGTGGGGAAATTCGTCATCAGACACTGAAAACGATTTTGCGACTAAGATCAATGATGTGCAAACTTGGCGCTCTATTTCAAATTTCAGTGTTTTTGGTTTGATTACAGTATTGAATTAAAGTTATATTATTTTTTTATGATTACATTTTAATTTATGATTTCATGTTTCAAATTTTAACATACCCGGGATGTTTACTAGACTCTTGTTCGGACAGATTTCAGTGAGTTATTCCTAAGAATTACAGGCCTACAATAAAAAAACGACACATTTCCATGCAAAAAAATGTACCGCTTTGAGCACAGAAATACTGACATCATGCCCCTAGGGAGGCTACAGCAATTAAATTCATTGCTATAAGCAATCATAATGTGTAAAAAAATAAATAAAAAAATAAAAAAAAAAATTGAAAGGAAAAAAATGTTTCCGTACTGTCAGAAGCCAGTCTCTGATCACCGCCACACCAGTTATATGATGGCGCTGTACTGCACTGGTGACAGTATGTATAAAAATTTTTGAAAAAGTATCAAGTAAAATGCTTGCTTATAGCAATGAAATTCATTATTATAAGGAATCATAATGTGTCATAATCGTCAATCATATAAAATAAACTTTCCCAAAGTAGTACAATATTACTATGGTAACATTATATTACACTTTTTTTTTTTTTTTTTTCCCCCCCCATATTGTTACCAGTCAATGTCCCTGATCACTGCCACACCAGTTATATGATGATGTATTGCCCTGGTGACAGTATGTAAAAAGAAAAATGAATTTTCTTTTTTATATTTCTTAATTTTCCACAAAAAGTGACAAATTTAAAAAATTTGCCATGCCTCTTACTAAATACCTCAGAATGTCTACTTTCCAAAAAGGGATAATTTGGGGGACATCTGAACTGTCCTGACATTTTTGTGTATCAAGAAATGAGATATGCTGTCAGTACAGCAGGATTGATCAATTTTCAGATATATACAATAGTTTAACTTTATAACTTTTGTACAGACTAAATAGTATAC